ATCCTTGAATCCTGCCATTCAGAGCTACTAACATTCAACCCCCCACCTTCACTGGCTCCCTATCTCTCCAGCCCAGTGAGGGTTCTGACCTTTGCAAACAGTTTCTTAAGCCAGACTTGGAAATCAGCTTCTATTTCCTATGAGCAGCCTGTTTCCTGCTCTTCTGTGTTTAAATGGCTCATTGTCTGCAGGACCTGTACAGAGGATAGTTCTGCCTCTGATTCAGGAGAAGAAGGCAGATGTTAATATTACTAACAAGTAGTAGCTACCGTTAAGTAAAAAGACCTCACTGTTTACCGGGCATTCTTCTGAGCTCTTTAAATGTTTTATGTCATGTGATATTCATAACAATAGTTTTTATAAGGACTGTTGGGATTTTCACAGCTGAGAAACCTGAAGCCGAGAAAAGGCAGCTTGCCCTCAGCATACAGTGAGTCCTCAGCAGAGCCAGGACTCTGGTTTTGGTTTGCCCACCTGCAGGTTGTACCACCTCACTCCCACGCCTGTCTGCAGACACTCTCTTTCTCCATCGATGGGCCTTGACCTCCCTGCCTGTTCTAGAGGTTGATCGGGGACCACCTTTCCCAGGGCAGGTAGCACATGTTTTTAGGAATTATCCAACTCCTCTGATGGACTGCTGACAAGTGAATGACCAAGGGAAGGGACTTGAGACTAAACTTGTACTTCTACCAAAATATCAACTGGCATGATCCAAGTCTTCACTGTCTAATTCAAGGTTTCTTAACCGGGGACAAAGGATAGGCCTCAGGAAGCCTGTGAGCCCTCTGAAATGGTCTGTAGCATGTTCTGTTGCTGTGGGTGGTGTGGGGGCAGAGTTGCCGTCTGCTCTTTTACGGGAACAGTGCTTTTTATGGGAACCGTGGCTCTCAGGACACTTTCAGAGTGGTTCTGTTCCTAACAGCGTTAAGAACTTCTGTACAGATTGCAAGGGGGTATAAAATTGGTTTTACCTAAATTACAAACTCAGCCTTATTCCAGGAAACTATTAGAATTTTTCTCCCAAAAGTACATTTAAATAAAAAAATTCAAATATAATCATTTTTTAAAATTCTCACCCAAGGATGTTTTTGTTTCATTTTGTTTTGATTTGATTTTTGGAGAGGGAAGAAGGGGGGGGGGGGCAAAGGGGGAGAGAGAGAGAGAAACATCAATCGGGTGCCTCCCACATGTGCCCTGACCAGGAATCGAACTGGCAACCTTTTTGGTGTAGGGGGCAACACTCCAAACAACTGAGCCACCCAGCCAGGGCTAAATATAATCTTCTTTGAGGGTAAAAATGCCACTGTGTTTGAAACTATGATTTCCAGACTTCTGATAGAAGTCAGCCAACAGTGGGTGTGATTCCAAGCTCTGGGTTTGATTCCATAGCTCCCTACTTCCTGAATTCAATTTAAATGTTATTGGTGTAAGTAATAGGCAGACAAAATGATCCTTGGAATTTTTAGAGTGGGGACTGTGTCTCTATTCATTAAGTATTTTCATGCTTACTGTGGGCCAGGAATAAGAGTTCCAGTCCTGTGAGTTTGCATGTTGTGATCTCTACATCTTTGCGTCACTGATGCCTAGCAAAGAACACTGCCCATGGCGCTCAGCTGTCGGGTAAATAAATGTCCCCACTTTATCCTGATTAGATTAAAAGGAAGGCCGTTGGCTTTGATTTGTTCAGCATCTGATTATTGAGTACTGATTGTGTTCCAGGCATTGAGCTAGGCACTGGAAATACAGTGGTAAGCAAAACAGATGAGGCCTGCTTCCTAGTGGGAGGACAGACAATTAAGTAATCACATAAATAAATCATTGTGAACTTGGACAGGTGCCGTGGAGGAAGTGCCCTGATGCTATGAGAATAGGTAACAAAAGACCTGGCCCAATAGAGGGAAGGCGGTGTCAGGGAAGGGTTCCTAACGAAGTGATGTTGGAGCTCTGATCTGAAGGCTGAATAGGGTATGGGCTTGTCCAGGCAGAGAGGGACCAGGATTGTACTGTACATTCACTTTGGTTGCCATTTCCATTCAGAAGAAAGGTTGATACAAAGAATGGTCAATGTCACCCTGGCCCGTTTTGCCCAGTGGTTAGAGCATAGCCCTGTGGACCCAGGGGTTGAAGGTTTGATTCCCGGTCAAGGGCATGTACCTGGGTTTGTAGGTACAATCCCAGGCCTTGGTCAGGGTCTTGCAGGAAGCAAGCAATTGCTGTCTCCCTCCCTCCCTCCTTCCCTCCCTCCCTTCCATTCTATCTAGAAATCAATGGAAAAATATCCTTGGAAGAGGACTAAAAAAAGAATGATCAATGTAATGTAGCATTTCTGGGCACTCTGTGCATGGGCGGGGACAGTGATGAGGGAGACACTGTTCTGGCTTGGAGGCATTGATAGGGGACAGGCAAGCTCAGAGGTGGGTGCTGGTCTCTCCTGGATGCAGCATCATGTGGCAGCTTGAATGGGTGCTTTTGCTGCTGGTGCCTCTCCGTTCCCCATGGGGTCTGTTCATCAGAGGCAGCCTGAACTAGTTGGCTCTGGTATGCAGCCACCCATGCTCCAAAGGTCAGGATCAACTGCGAGCCTGTTATAAACAGTGTTGGGGAGTGAGTTCAAGGGAGAGAGGGCGTAAGAGAGAGACCGAGAACCAGTGAGGCTGAGAAATGGGCAGGGAGCCTAAGCTGGTAAAGAAGGCAGCTCTCTGGACCGGCAGGCTCTGCGGAAGATGGTGGAGCTTTGTCCGTGGCAGTCCTGTTAGAGCAGCCTGGAATAACTGTGAGAATTCTTTCTAACAGCATGCATTTTGATTACTTAATTATAAGAAGAATTTATTCTCAATGCAGAACACTTTGAAAACATGAGAAGCACATAAAGAAATGACCATATCTTATCATGAAAATCTAAGAACCAAATGAGATAACCAAATGTGAAGGGTTCAGCATTTATCAGGTGCTCAATAGACACGCACAGCTGTTACAGTGCTGAGGGAGAATCAGCCCTTTTGCTCTGAGAATGAGGCATTTACAATAAGGGATAATGAAATGTAGGAGAAATTATTTTGTAATTGGCCTTTTTAAATGTATGTGTATAGGGAAAAAGTGTGAATTCTTTCTTACCCCAGCACAAGAATGAAAAGGTGGAGAATCCTGAAGATTTGTGAGAATGTTTTGTAGGATTTGGTGTCAGTTCTGTTGTTTTTTTGTTTTTTTTTTTTGTTTTTTTTTAATAAAGCCTTAAGGGGAGTCTCAGATCCCCTCACCTCCTTGTCATTTATCCAGACTGACAGCAGAGCCCTGGGAGGAAGTGTTTGCCTCCCGCAAGCCTCATTCAGTTTCTGTTCCTCCCCTATTGATCCATTAGGATTGCTTATAAATTTACTGATCACATAGATGTTTTATTTATGCGCTTTCTTTGTGAATCACATATATAATAAACGTTTACCCCAGCATTGCCCTTAACCGCAGAAGATCTGGGTTTAAAGATGTCACTCTCCTGCTTGTATAGCCTCACCCCCAAGTGTTTAATGGACATTTCTATAGACTACAGCCAGGGCACAGTGCTGTGTTCGTGGCCGCCTTCCCTTGGGCAGCATCCAGACTCCAGGATCAGCTCTGGTCGAAGCAGCCTGTAAACATCTCGACAAGCACAGGAGTCCAGAGTCAGAGGGAGAGGAGCACCCGGCAGCGTGAGGGAGATGGAAAGGGAATGATGGAACAGGGACCGGAGGCACTACACACTTGGCCTGTCCCACCCCCTTTTAGGCCTCAGTTTCTTCAACGAGGGAGTTGGACTAGACTACCTCAGAGTTTCCTAGTTATCGGGAACAGGCAGCTAAAATTTGTCTCAGCGTAGTGCTGATTATTGAAGCTTTGGGAAGGGATGAATGTTAGCTTTGTGACCATTCCTTAGGTTGAACATACCTGTTTTATCTCTTCTATTTCTTATATTTCATAATTATTAAAAATATAATTTTAAAAACACCAAAGAGAATGGTTGGTGGTTTAGAGGAAGGAATCAAACAAAAGACTAAGAGTTGTATCTTGAAAGGAATTGCTGTGTTACGGTCCAGACTGGAAAGAGAAGGGCTACCCAGTGAAGGAGGGAACAGCCTGCCAGGTAGAAGGAGAGGTAAGAGAGGAGGGGATCGATCATGTTAAAGCATGAAAGTCAAGGAATGTTGAAGTCTAATTGGGGATTGATAGAACCCACTGGATGGAATGAGAAAGAAAACACTTGGTGTCCTTCAAGAGGGTACTATCTGTAGAGTAGTCAGAGCAAAAGCTTGATTTAGAGACATTACGGAGAGAGGCTATGAAGCAATGGAAGTAAAAGGCATAGGTGAACCTGTGGTTTGCAGTGGTTGTTGGTAAGAAAAGCTTGAGAGAAAGGACAGTAGTTCAGTGGGTAGTAGAGCCGCCAAGTGGAGTGTCCAGCAGACCTGTGCTTTGAAGGGCAGAGGGAACGGTGCTTGTTTGACAGCAGCACAGGAGCTCGTAGCGAGGAAAGTTAATAGATGGTAGGATAGTGAGGTGGCTGCAGCTTGGGCCTTGGATGGAGCCTAGCTGCCTGGGTTCAAATCCCAGTTCTGCTGGTGCCTGAGTGACCGTAACCACCTTATTTCTCAGTTAACTTGCATGTAAAATGAGGATAAGGATGAAAATACTGTACTCGTAGAAGTGGCAAGAGCTCAGAGACTGGAAGCACCTTGCAGCAGTACTGGTATGTGCTCAGTGAGATGGTGGTGATGGCGATCAGGGACAGTAGGACCCGGCCTCAGGTGGGAGGAGCTCCCTGTAGGCGCTCCTTCTAACACTGTTAGTAAAACTGTATGAACCAGTTATCCCCAGCAGAATCCTGGACTGTGCCCCATTCTGATGATTTCCCTCCAAAAATAGGAAACACCACTGCCATAGTGACTAGGGATGGCCTAATTTTAGTGAAGCCCCTGAAGCATCCACCACTTTCTGATACTTTATAATTTGTGCTGTGGTTTATCCTACAGATTAGTCAGAAGAAGCTGAAAAAATTTGAAAAAGAATATCACACCATGAGGGAGCAGCAGGCCCAGCAGGAAGACCCCATCGAGCGATTTGAGGTTCGTTTGCTTCTGGCCGATGCCATGTGAAGAGCCTCCAGCCTTCCGCTTCATGTTATTGTCCGTGTAACAGCCTTGTTGTGTTGTTTTAAAAATTCAGTTGCCGCTGTTTCAAGGTTCAAGTTTCAGTTAGAGTTTGCAAATAAGAAAACAAGTTTGTTTCACTTCAAACCAGCTGCCTAGTTTGTTCCAGTTCAGTGGCCCTTGGCACAGTTAATAAGATGTAGCTACTTGACAAGGTCGCTGGAGTCAGTGTTTGTTGATGGAGGTAGAAAATGAGAAATTACTGATTGGAAGCACATTAGGACCAGCTACGCCTCCCACGATTTCCACAGGACTCAAAGTAGTTTTGAGGGTTAGCACTGAGAAGTTGTCATTTTCATCTGATTTTTATGTGTCATTTAACCCTTCAGCGGGAGAATAGGCGTCTACAAGAAGCAAACATGAGGTTGGAACAGGAAAATGACGACTTAGCCCACGAGCTGGTGACCAGCAAGATCGCGCTGCGCAAGGACCTGGATAACGTGAGTCTGGCTCGGCTGGCGGGGGGGATTGTGTCCAACACTTGACTTCTCCCTTAGTCATGTGAAAGCCTTGATTTCCGTGCGTGGTGATCTGGTTAGTCACCGTCCTCTGCAGATACCCAGGCTCCTGTCAGCATCCCCTCCCTCCGCTCCTTCAGGGATCAGCAGGCTCCACGAAGCCCTCCTTACCACACTCTCCGCTCCTTAGACACACAGCCCTTGGACTTCTCCTCAAACACTGTTGGATTGAGAGACCTTCTGGCTGAGTCTTAAGCTGTCACAACTGGCAGTAGCGTTTAGTCACTGTGACTTTCTTAACCTCTCCCAAAACAAGAAGAGACTTTGTTATCTTGCATATCACATGCCTGGTGACTAAGCACGGCCGATGGTAATAAAGCTCCGTGCCCAGGAGCCTGATGGCATCCGTAGTTTCTGTGGGCAGATGTGCCCTACTTTTTTTTTTTTTTGCCTCTCCTAATCTTAAAAAGTTTGAGGTGATAGCTTTTCTGTCAGCGTGTTTGCCCATTCTCCATACCACAAGCTTTCCTTAGAAGAAGTGTAATCTCTCATTCATGGTTCAGGTTGGAGGTTGGCGAACTTCATCTGTACTTTAGGCTTGGGGGCCCTGTGGTCTGTCCCAGCTGTTCAGCTCTGCCATTGGCACGAACTAGCCACACACGGTGGCTGTCTGCTGATAAGCCTTGTCTATGGGAATCGGTGGGCTTGGTGCATGGGCCTTGTTTGTCCACACCTGACTTAACTTTCCCTGTCAGGCTCCTAAGATTATTTTTCTGCTCATTGGTTGCCTAAGGTTCTAGAAGTAGGCTCAGGCTGTTGAGGGTTTACAGGGGACTTGCATGATGTAGTGAACCCTGAAGGGTTTGCTCCCCTGAGTGTGTATGGCATACTGTGCACAGCTGTGTTTCTCTGAGAGTCTGTGCTTCCCCAGAGTGGCTCAGTGGACAGGTGGGGAGAGAGAAGGCACTATCTGCTGGTTCTTAGTGCTTCTCTTTAGAAATAGAATAGTGGAATAAAACATTTTGAGCAGGCCTGGATTCTAATACCAACTACTGTACTTTCAAGTAGACAAAAATGTTTGTTGGGGGTTGTGGGCAATAATAGTTGTGCCCGGAACATAGTGAAAATGACGTGATTTGGTATATATGGACACAACGCCCCCCACCCTAATCTGGCACTGGTAGTGTTAGTCTCCTCTGCTGTCTCCTTGTCAGCTACAAATAGCACGTGTGCCTGGGAAGGCTCCTTTTTCCATTTCTGCAGGGAGGGTGTTTCAAGGTCATCAGCCCTCAGTAACCAGAACCTGGAGATCTCACTACTTTTTGGTTCCCCACAGTCTGCTCATCAGGGTTGAGTTTCCTCCCCATGGTGCATATTTCCAGCATGCCCTGTGTTCTTCTTTGCAGAAACAGTATATGCATCACTCCCTCATCCATCAGGCATTTCTGCCAAGTGGGTGAAGGAGGCCAGTGTGCAGTGAGCAGGGACCGCTGAGGCAGGGCCACAGTGTCCACCAGAGACGGCCTTGGGCAGCTGCGGACCATGCAGAAAGGGGCGAGAGAATGGATCCTAGACAGGAACTGTATGCTCTACAGTAAAGTTGTGTTAAAAGGCAGCTTACACCAGAATTCCAGGTGGACTTCTAGTTTGCACTCCCCAGTCTGACAGGCTCCTAGACTTCCTGCTGACCCTGAACAGTTAAACCTTGTTCATGTTGTCTCATCCTGACACAGTAGTCAAGGAGGTAGGGGTACATTCCTGAAATCAGAAGTGAGAACTGGTAAAAAGAATATGAATTCCCACTTACTGAGGATCTCTGTGATGGGCACTATGATAATAAGCACTTTGCTACACTCTGATAACCATATATATATATGGTTATATATATGTGTGTGTGTGTATATATATGTTATATATATACATACACACTTTTCTTTTTCTTTATTGATTTTAGAGAGAGAGGAAGGGGGGAGAGACACAGAAACATCGATGAGAGAGAATATCGATTGGCTGCCTCCTACATGCCCCCCACTGGGGATCTGGCCCACAACCTGGGCATGTGTCCCGACCAGGAATCAACCTGGCGACCTCTTGGTGCCTGGGTCTGTGCTCAACCACTGAGCCACACCAGCCGGGCTGATCTCCTTATCTTTGCCTTAGCCCTCTGAGGACAGTACCATGAGCCCCACTTACAGATGCAGATTTGTTGAACAACCAGGAAACTTGAGACTCAGAGAGATGAAGATACCCAGGAAGAAGCAGAGCCAGGAGTCCAACCCAGTCCAGGCTTTTTCTTCAGTGCCACACTGTCTCCAAAATAAATGTGGAACATACGAGCCCTGGCCAGGTAGCTCAGTTGGTTAGAGCATTGTCCCAATATGCCAAAGTTGCAGGTTGGATCGCTGGTCGGGGCTCATACAAGAATTAACCAATGAATGCATAAATAAGTGGAACAACAAATGATATTTCTGTTTCTCTCTCTCTCTCTCAAATCAATCAAGTAAAAAACAAAAACAAAAAAAAAGCCCTATGATTTGTTGTCATAACTACATCAGAAATGTGAGTCCAGGAGGACCGGTGATAGTCACATTACAGCAAATGTTGGTTTTTTTTTTAATATGTTTGTTTGTTTGTTTATTTATTTATTTAGAGAAGAAGGGAGAGAGAGAAGCATCGATTGGCTGCTTCCTGCATGCTCCCCACTGGAGACTGGGCTCGCAACCTGGGCATGTGCCCTGACCAGGAATCGGACCAGGAACTCTCAGTCCATGGGACAGCACTCAGTCCACTGGGTCACACCGGCTGGGCTTAAAATGTTCTTGAGCCAACAGCTAGCCGCTGCTCTAAGTGCTTTGTATTTACTACCATCTTCTCAAATCCTCAGAATAACCCATGTTGTACAAGGAATACAATTACGATCCCCATTTTACTGATAAGGAAACTGAGGCAAAATGGGTCATACTGTTAGTGGCAGAACCTTCAGATTGAAACTCAGATGACCTGGTGCCAGAGCTCACACTCCTGACTTGGCTCAGAGGAGAAGGGTGCCGGATACCTTTAGGGCTCAGGAGCATCAAACGGGTCCTGTCCTCCAGCCGTCTGTGCTGAGTAGGCAGAACTTCCCCACACTGCACTGTGGGTCCCTTCCAGGTTAGTTCTCTTGTTTCTACTCTGTCATCACCGAAGTCAGTAGTTTCTGAAGTGAAGAATGTGGTTCTCTCACCTTTTTTTGACTTCAGGGACTCACATTTTTTAAAGAACTTCATTCCTTTCAACTCTTCCCTTTCTGAAACCCAGAGAAAAGCTCTGGTGTATTGCTTAAGGATTTCCAGAACCCCCTTTGTATTTTCCATTAATTTTGCATCACTTTTGTTATTCCTCACCTGTCACTTTTCTTGCTTGGCACAGCAGCTATTGAGAATTTCTGCTGAGAGAGTACCCACGCAAGGCCCCTGGCACAGGGCCGACAGGAACACGTCTGAGCACGTCAGTTCTGCCCGGTCGCTACAGGGAGACTGCCCTGTGAGAGTGAAGGAAGCTCTCAGGCGTCCACCTGCCCAGAGTTGAACATGGGCTCCTTTGCTTGCTAGTTCTGTGACCTTGAGCAGGTTGCTAAATTTGACCCATTGAATTACTTTGACTTTATCAAAAATCAGTTGACCTGCCCGGCCAGTGTGACTCAGTGGTTGACTGTCGACCCACGCACCAAGATGTTGCTGGTCCAATTCCCGGTCAGGGCACATGCCCAGTTTGTGGGTCCGATCCCCAGTGAGGGGGAGTGCAGGAGGCGGCCTTTAGGGTCTCTCTCATTGATGTTTCTATCTCTCTCTCTCTCTCCCTTCCTCTCTCTCTAAAATCAATAAAAGAAAAATATATATATTTTTAATCAATTGATCCAACATACATGGGTCTCCTTGATTCTGTATCTGCCCCATTGAATCATATGTGTATCCTTAGGCCAGTATCACAGTCTTAATTACTATAGCTTTACAGTCTTAAAATCAGGTCATGTGAGCCCTCCAACTGTGTTGTTCTTTCCCAAAAATAGTTTATCTATTCTAAGTCTTTTGCATTTCTATATAAATACTAGATTCAGTTTGTGAACTTAATAGAAATAATAAAGCCTTCGTGCCCTGGCCAGTTTGGCTCAGCAGTTAGAGTGTCAGCCCGCGGACCAGAGAGACCCGGGTTCAGTTCCGCTGAGGGCATGTACCTCGGTTGCAGTTTATCCCTGGCCCCTGTTGGGGTTGTGTGGGTAGCAACCACTCGATGTGTCTCTCTCACATCGATGTTTCTCTCTTTCTCTTCCTCCCTCCCTCTCTCACGCTCTATCTGAAGATAAATGCAGAAAGTGTCCTTGGGTGAGGATTAAAAATAATAATAAAAATTTTTTTAAAAATAAAGCCTTCGTGAATTTTGAGTGGGGTTGCATCTATAAATCAACTTGAGGAGAATTAACATCTGACCAATAATTGAACCTTCTAGTTCATGAATATGTGAAAATTTTCATTTATTTAGGTCTTTCTCTATTTTAGCATTGTTTTTTAATTTTCAACTTATGAAATTTGCACATATTTTAATCTGTTAAAGGCTGTTCTCATTGCATTTTGCAATCGTTTATTGCTAATTTCTAGAACTACAGTTGATTTCATAACCTTGTATCCTGTGACCTTGCTAAATTCACTTAACGATTCTAGTAGCTTTTTGGTTTATTTTCCACATGCACAATCATATCATCTCCGAATGAAGACAGTTTTACTTCCTTTCAAGTCTTGATTCCTTTCTCCCTTGCCTTCCTGCACTGACCAGGATTCAGAGCCATGCTAGACGTGAGTGGGCCTCCCTGCCTGCTGCAGGTGTTAGCTGTAGCCTTTTCATAGGTCAGGTTGGGGAAGGTTGCTCTTTGCTGAGAGCTTTGATCATGAATGTGTGTTGAGTGATTATTTTCTACTTCTCTTAATTCTGTTAATCTGGTAAAGTAAATCAATTTTTCAGTGTAAACCAACCTTGCATTCCTAGGAAACTTGATTTTTTTAGAGATATAGAGAGAAACATCTGTGTGAAAGCAAAACATTGATGGTTTCCTCCTGCATGCCCCTTGCCAGGGGTCAAGCCCAAAACCCGGGCAAGTGCCCTGACTGGGAATGGAGCCAGCAACCTTTCCATGCAGGGGATGATGCCCAACCAACTGTTTGATGGCAGCCAGGGCTGTCTTGCAGTTTTTTGTCTCATTTTTGTTTAAAAAAAAATTTTTTTTTCTTCATTGATTTTTAGAGAGAGAAAGGGAGAAGGGGAGAGAGGTAGAAACATTGATGAGCGAGAACATCAACTGGCGCCTCCTGCACGCCCCACACTGGAGCATGTGCCCTGACCTGGAATCGAACCAGTGACCTCGTGGTGCATGGGTCAGTGCTCAACCACTGAGCCACACCAGCCAGCCTGCTTGTGTCTCGTTTTGATATCAGGACAATGCTGGCCTTTTAAGATGAACTGAAAAATGTTTCCTCTTATTTTCTTAAGTACTTTATGTAGAATTGTTTCTTGATGAAATCTTTAATTTCCAAGTGAAACCATATGGGCCTGGGGTTTTTTAGGAAATTATTTAATTATGAATAATTTTCTGCTAAGAAAACTTATTCAATGAATATATTCAGTTTATTTTCAGATAAGGACTATTCGAATTTTCTAACTCTTCATGTGTCCCTTTTAATAATTTGTATCTTTCCAGTAACTTACTAGTTTTAATTGTCAAATAAATAGGCACAGAGTCATTGCTAGTTCCTTATTCTTTTTATATTTAAAGGACCTGTTGAGATGTCCTCTCTTTCATTCCTGATAATTTGTGTCTTTTTTCTTAATCAGTCTAACTAGGAATTTATCAGTTATTTTATCTCTTTAAAACTCAGCTTTTGGTTTCATTGATTTCTTTTTCTTTGTTTTGTTTTATTCTGTTTTTTATTATTTCCATTTACTGGTTTTTTTTAATTTAATTTGCCTTTTCTAGCTTCTTAAAGAGAAAGCCTGAACATTGCTTTTTTAAAATAAGCATTGTTATAGATCTCCCAGTAGCACTATTTCAGCTGCATTCTGAAAGGCTGTGTTTTTATTTTTCTTTAGTTTCTTTAGTTTTTGTGGTTTTTCTTTTGACCTGTGAGTTAATTAGTAGTGTGTTGTTTAATTTTCAACTATTAGGGGTTTTGCTAGATATTTTTCTTTTGATGTCTAATTGAATTCCATTGTGATTAGAGTACATTTCCTTTCTGATTTTAATCATTTTAGAATATATTTATGATTACTTTAAGGCCTACCATACGGTCTGGTTGGGTGAATGTCGCACATGCACCTGGAAAGGGTGTGTGTTGGGATGGAATGTTCTACAAATGTCGGCTCAGTGCAGCTGGTTGGATGTTGTCAGACCTTCGTAGACTCGAGGGCTTTCTCCCAGGGGCCCTGTCACTTAGTGAGAGGGCAGTGAGGAGCCTCTCATTGCATTTACTGTTTTCCTTTCAGCTCTGTCAGTTTCTGTTTTCTGGAAACTGACGCGTACATTGAATTGATGCATACATTTCTGCTTATTACACCTTTTTAATGGAACTACTTTTTATATTATGAAATGTCCCTCTTTGTCCCTGCTAATACTCTCTGTTCTGAAGTCTACTTTGTCTCATGTTAATATAACCACTCCAGCTTCCATGGTATTGCATGGTACATTCTTTTACTTTTAACACATCTGTGTCTTTATATTTAAAATGGGTTTTTGTAGGCAGCATATAGTTGGGTCTTGCTTTTTTAATTCAGTCTGATAATCTGCCTTTAATTGGAATGTTTAGACCAGTTATATTTAATGTAATTATTTATATGATGAATGTAAGTCTACCACCTTGCTCTTTGTTCTCTATTTGTTGTGTTTGCCTTTTCTTTTTCTCTCTCGCGCTCCTTCTCTGCCTGTATGATTTTACTTTATCACTTCCTGTGCCGATGAGCTGTTCCAGAGCTCTCGTCCCCCGAGCCCTGCCCACGGCGTCCAGCCACTCAGCATCTCTGCCTCCTTCGCCCTCTGAGGCTTGTTCTGTGAGGAAACCCAGGGCAGCAGTAGGGCTTACCTTGTTTGTTTTCTTTCTCCCAGGAACCATGGTTCCACATTCATTGTTTTCAGGGTCTGAAAACAGTAGTTTTGTATATTCTGCCCAGTTTTCGTTTACAGTGGGAAGTCCCTGTTAGTACTTCATGACGGAAGTAGATGTCTGGATTTATGCTTATTACCATCTGATGTCCTGTCCTCGTGCCCATGTAACCAGAGTGACTGTTCAGCGGTGGTGGCATTAAAGGACCCTCTCTGGGCCACCCTTGGCTCTGTGCCCTTCCCCGTGTTGGAGTTCAGCTCGTGGAGTGATGGCACAAATGCTGACTTAGTGTCACGTGACCTGGTTTTGGGTTCTAGCTGTGCTTTGCATCGTGAGAGCTGGGGGAAGTCACTTCCCTACCTGATTTTTTTATAACTTGAGGAGTCAGGGTGGGCAGAGAAGACTCAAGTTAGAAGACTTCATGACCTGGCTACTCCATACTTTTTAGCATCACCTCAGTGTTGATTATTATCTACCATGGGAGTGATGGCGAGTAAGTAAGAGAACTGAAAAATGTGCCACAGGCTCCAAAGTACTGCTCAGGAGACGGGCCAAATCCGGGGGTGGACAGGTCATGGGTCATTCAGTTGGTTAAAGTAAAACAGGACTTTTTAAAAATAATTTTTCTTTATTGATTTTAGAGAGAGAGGAAGGGAGAGGGTGAGAGAGATAGAAATATCGATGAGAGAGAACATTGATTGGCCACCTCCTGCATGCCCCCTACTGGGGATCGGGCTCACAACCTGGGCATGTGCCCTGACCAGGAATCAAACTGGCAACCTCTTGGTGCATGGGTCGACACTCAACCACTGAGCCACACCGGTCAGGCATAAAACAGGATCTTTAACAGGAGTTCATTCTCCTCACTAGTTATTTCCTGATGTTCCCCATTTCCCTTTTGAGTTCTCCTGGGAATTGAACTAGAGATGATAAGCCACTCCCCAGAAAGGACAGGCCTTACCTGTAGGACCCCATTTAATTGCATGCACGACAGTTTACCAGTGATTAATGACCTTTGGAGTTTGCATGTCATGCCATTCTCAGTTCTCCTTTTAAGGTCCCAGACCTCTGGAACCTATTCCTTCCAAAGACGACGCGTCAGAGGACATGTGGTCTAGTGGAGAGCACAGGGGCTGTTACCCTGCACTAGCTAGGGGTCATTTCAGGGACACCTCCACCCATTGTCAGAGGAGGTTGTGTGTAAGGAGCCAGCAGAGACCCTCTGTCTCGAATGCTCTGTAACTAGGAACCACCGCCTGTTGCCTTGACTGCCCTCTACCGTGCTACAGTCATTCACTCTTCAGTGTCCTGGGACTGTCCCGCAACCCACAAATCTCCCTCTAGACCTTTGCATGCTTTAGAAAAAAATTGGGGTGGAGGATCACCATTTCAGATAATAAAACAGGGTGTCAGGAGAGTGGTGGCCTCCTTTATCAGGTGACCGGGAGAGCGAAACGCAAAACTTGTTTGACGAAGCAGAGGAAAACCAGAATTTATTATTACTATTAATGATGATGAGATCTACCTTTTATTGAGTGTTTACTATATGCCAGGCACTGTGCACACTTTATCCCGCAGATGAAGAGCCTGGCACTCAGATAGGCTTTCAGTGACTTGGCCAGTGGCACATAGGGAACAGTGGGCTTGAGCACAGGCTATCTGATGCCACAGGCTGTGTTCCCAACCACTGCCTCTGGGCCAGAGACTGGGCAGGCACTTCAGCACAGCTCTAGTCTCAGTGTGACCTTGGCATCTCATTTCCCTGTCCAGGTCAGTTTTTCTTCATCTTAAAATGGGATTGTGCTGGGCGATTCAGACCCCTTCCAGTTCTCAGTTCTTGTTTGGTAACAGTATCTCTTAAATGTTTCAGGCTGAGGAAAAGGCAGATGCACTGAATAAGGAGCTGCTTATGACCAAACAGAAGTTGATTGATGCAGAAGAAGAGAAAAGGCGGCTGGAAGAAGAGTCTGCTCAGGTAAGGGAACTTCACCCTCCCATAACCCTCTCCCTCGCAAATGCCTAAAGGTTGGGGGCTCGGCTGGAGGCTTCCTGTTGGCACTGGAGAACCCAGAGAGAGCTGGCTTCAGTTTCTCTCCGGAGACCTTTTTTATTTACTGTGTAAAGCATAATGGTTCTGAATAATTAAAGCATGGAGGAGATAGTGGGGGCAAAGCCCATCTCCCATTGGGGCAGGAGAAATTCCTGTGTGCCCGCATCTGAGTGACAAAGAAGAGGGTTAGCATTTCTGCAGAAGGAAAACAGACACCGTAACATGTCTGGCTCATCCCCTACCTGTCCACTGACGTTTCGCTGACAGAGCAAACTGTGGAAGGCTTGTCCACAGCCAGCTCTGCAGTCCCTGTGGCCACAGACCTACAGCCATAGGAAGAGCTTTGGATGCTGGGTGCCCTGGGGTAACGCCCCTCCCCTTATCCCCCAGTTTTCCATAAAGGTAACTCCCTCTGGTCTCAGGGCTGCCTGAGGTGGGACGTGACAGGGCCCTTTCTGCACAAACTCAGGTCAGGCACTGAAGCCGCCGTGGTCCTCCATGAGCCCCCGTCTGTGCCGTGCTGTCCCGCACTCAGGCCCACGGGCGGGTTGCCCTCAGACAGAGGCTGGGTGTTTTTGGAAGGTTTAACTGTTCTCTCCCTCTCTTGGCCTCAAGAACAGGGGTTAATACTGCCAAGATCGAAGGAAGAGGGAGTGAATTTGAGCCTTTCCAGAGCTAGGTCAGGCACTTCTTGGAAAGCGCTTTGTCTCTGAAAACGTTCACTCTGCTTTTTAATGTGTGCAGTTAAAAGAAATGTGTCGCCGGGAACTCGACAAGGCAGAATCTGAGATTAAAAAAAACAGTTCTATCATCGGTGACTACAAGCAGGTGGGTCCGTGCACCCTGTAACTGGGCTGTGTTCCCTGGTTGCCCCAATGAAATGTGTCCCTTCCTCACCCCAGGGCTTCTGGCTCCAACAAGTCACTTCCCTGCCCCGGCCACGTCACCTCGCTGGTTCCCAACTAGAATACGGGAAAGAGCCTCAATCTCGGATCGTGTTGGTAGAGCACCAGGCATAGTGAGTGCCCAGCATACACGTAGACACTTAATAAGTGAAGCCACACAGTGTCCTTGGGACATTTCAGATTCGAGTCGAGGCCTTCTGTTCATGTGTAGTCATGAGGTGTAGAACCAGTTCTCTCCCTGGCTGTTTGCATTTTAAGAACATAGCCAAACTGGTCTTGTCCCTTCCTATACTGGGATCTCACATGTGTTTGGAAACCAGTGGCCACTGAGTGTAGCCAGAGGAGCCTTTGCTCCCCATCAGCCCTCAGCCCTCCCGAGCGGTGGCAGCCTGCTAGGTGCCGTCTTCTTTCCTCGTAGTGGAGCCCAGCTGCCGCCATGGAATTCGTCCCTAGTCCAAGTGTGCAGTAAGGGCCTTGTTCAAGAGATTGCCACTTGATACTGTGTCTGTTTCTTTAGATTTGTTCTCAGTTGAGTGAAAGATTGGAGAAGCAGCAGACAGCTAATAAAGTAGAAATTGAGAAAATTCGGGTAAGTCTTCCTTTACCAGAGACATTTTAAAGCACCTAGCTCAGTTTATGGCTGTACTCACAACAGATTTGGGGGGCGGGGGAGAACTTTGATTTCAGAAGTGAAAGAAGCTGCCAAATACCTGCTGGGGCGCCTGTCCCTGCCCGGCTTAGTAATTCAAAACCAGTGCTGTGCCTGTTTCCTCTGGAGGGGAATACAGATGAGGCCCAAAGAGCTCTGGCTTTAAAAGATCTCAAAGTACAAGGGCCCTTGTCTTATCAGTGTGCATGACACCCTCCTCTGGGTGGTTCGTCAGCAACAAAACAAGCGCCACAGGTTTCCAGTGCCGCCCCTGGGCAGGGAGGCCTGCGCAGCCCAGAGCCTGGAGCTCGGCTTGGCCTGAGGTGGGGTAATGAGGCCAGGGCCTGGGAGTGACTTTTCACCCCCACCATCCTGCGTAAGGAAGGGACACACCCCTCCGAGCTCACTTCTGCTGTCCTACCCATCTCGGTGCCACGAGGACCTGACGTTTTAAAGTACAGCGGAACTTGGCACCTGCGTTCTTGAAGCTGCACCTGTATTCGAATATGCACCGAGCTTCACTGAGATGAGTCATGTACGGAAAGATGCTCTCCCAGCACGTGTACAGTCGGGGGCGAGAAGGGGAGTTCGGTGCTCATGGCCATGTCTGCTCGGAATGTTTCATGGGAGCAGAGACACCCGGGCCCTGTTGTGAGAGGTGTTTAACCAGCAGGAGCTTATCTTTTTAATATAATTTATTTTCTGATTCTAAAACTAATAATACTCATTGCAGGAAATTTAGAAGAGTAAATAAAACAAAACCGTAGACTCCTGTCCGCACAGATAAACCCCCCACTGTGAACACGGCGGTGCCTGCTCTCTCCGTCCTTGTCTGTGTAACAGGCAGCTCCGTCTGTTCTAAGATGTGCCCATTTCACATTTGCATCTCTGAAATCGGAGCGTGTTTTATAACAGGGCTCTTTGTGGTTTCGTTGGCAGAATATTTTCTTAGAGGAACATGAAATGATGTTTCTGACGGCCACTGGCATCTTATTTTGATGCCCTGTGGCATATATTTTAACCACTATACGTACATTTTTGTGTACCATTTTACCATGTTATGAAAAAGTCCTCAGAAACTTCTTAGAGGCTGCACACTTCCTGTATAAAGACAACAGAGTTGAATCTCTCCCAGGTGTTGGGTAGCTTATGCCCCCTTTTTCCTTCTCTCTTTCGGCAGTGAAAATCCTTGTACATAAACGTTACCTGGTCACTGCTTCTTCATTTTTTTAGCCAAGGTTCCTAGATATGAGATTACTGACTGGATCAAGACGTCAGAATGTTTGTATTGCTTTCGGGATGTAATACTGAAAGGTGGCTTTCCCACAGGCTGGCTGCCTGCTTACAAAGAGATGAGTTTCGGAAGCCGTAGTGCCCCACTGCGAGGCCACCTCTTGGCTCCCCGGGATGGGGGTGCTCACGCCTTCTAAAGGGCCAGTTTCTCTCCTTGTCTCTTCACATCTGACATTCAATTTCAGCAAAAAGTAGATGACTGTGAGCGCTGCCGAGAGTTTTTCAACAAAGAAGGGCATGTAAAGGGCACCAGCGCAAGTAAGGACGTTTTAGATGAGGACACTGATGAGGAGAAGGAGACGCTCAAGAACCAGCTGAGAGAGATGGAGCTGGAGCTGGCACAGACCAAGCTGCAGCTGGTGGAGGCTGAGTGTAAGATTCAGGTAACAGCCACCCCGGGCCGCCCGGGGACGGGGCTGCCTCTGCTCTGGTGCCTGGGACTGAGGGCGCGCGAGGGCTTTCCTGGTGTGGGCTGGGAGTGCCAGGAATGATCTGTGTGGGCTGGGGTTCTTTTCCCCTTTCAACTTTGACTGTGATCCTCACAGGAAGAAGCCCATTACTTGTTACTTACCAGTGGATGTTTAAATAGTATTTGGCCTGTTGTAAGCATTGGATTGGACTTTTCCATAATGAGAATAATCATCAAGCTTGGAAACATTTTGGTGGAGCAGAGAATTTGTATTTTGAAACCACCACTGTGCTGTCCAAGTCTTCAGCCTTGCATGAGTCAGTGGCCTCTACTCGCCAGGCTCCTCCTCTGCAGGTGGAGGTGATGGGGGAGGACCGGAGGAGATAATGCCCAGAAAGGGTTTATTTAGCCCAGTGTCTGAGGGCTTCACAAATGCCGGCCGGCGTGTCCCAGCTCCCATCAATTAGCTAGCTTTGTGACTTTGGACATATTAACCAACTTATTTGAGCCTCCATTCCTGACGAAGAAATTGGGGCTGATGTTGGTCACCTTATACCGCATAGATTTGTTCCATCAGCTGGTGCTGAGCACGTGGAGCCAAGTTCAGGACGAAAGCTTAGGCCTGGTCTCCCACATCGCACCCACTTACTGGGCGCCTGCTCTTGGCCAGGCCGTTCTCGATGCTGGGACTGCAAAGCTAAGACATGTTTCATGCGACTGTCCAGGACAGCCAGTAGAGGCAGCAGTGAAGCAGCAGTGTCTGAGCTGTGGTCAAGAATGGACTGTGGCTGCAGAGGAGAAAGAAGAGGGGGCATTCCTGGGGGAGGGAGCAGCACACTGAGCAGCAGGGGGAGGCACAGGCTTGCCCAGGGGAGCCTCGGGAAGTAGGGGGGATGTGGTGCTGAGCTGGAAGACTCTGAAGGCCCCCACCAGCACCTCAAATGCCTTGCTCTGGAGTGTAGACTTGAAGAGTCTTTCTGGAAATCCGTGGTGCTGGCCCAGCTGGGCATGAGCTCATGTGCCTGGTGTGAGCTCAGTGGGTGGACGGGGGGGGGGCTCGCTTAGGAGGTGGCTTGAATAAACCAGGCAGGGAATGAGGAAGCCTTTACTAGGAAAGATCCCACCACGTGAGGATTCCCGAGCGTTAGCATCACTTTGAGATGGGGGGGGGGGGCTTCCAGAGGCCTCTCGAGAGTCTGCAGACTGAATTCCCATCTAGGCTCAGCCCTGGCGCCTTGGCCACACCCTCACGCAGTCTTCCTCTTTCAGGACTTGGAGCACCATCTGGGCCTCGCCCTAAATGAGGTGCAGGCCGCCAAGAAGACGTGGTTTAACCGAACACTGAGCTCCATAAAGACAGCGACCGGGGTGCAAGGGAAAGAGACTTGCTGAGAGCAGCTGTGGCCTCCAGACACTGTCAGACACAGGGCACCTTTGCTGCCTTTGGCCAGATGTGATGCTGTGACATGTCCCCGGACCAGCTGTACCTAAGTCCGATTCCTACAAGTGTGTTGGCAGGTCATGGACCAGAGGTCCTGAAGCAGGCAGCCTCTGGGGTGAGGCTCCTAACCACTGACACTAACAGGCCTGCTGTCCCGACAGCTGCTCTGGACACTCTAGAAAATCACTCCTGGGGCCTCCCCAGCCCCCAGCCCCGAGGCTGAGGCGACATTATCAGAGTTGGGGTATCTTTTTAGGCTGTTGGTTTTTTTCTAAATCTTTAATTTTTTTTTTTAATACACATATATATTGTGGTGAGGGTAGGGTGGGGTAGGGCAGAGGATCAATAACTCCAGTAATTCTTACCTGCTTCAGTACCAGCAGAGGGTCGTCCAGGTGGGTAACGAGAAGCACTTTGTTTTGAACAGGTTTCATGGTTGCAGTTGAAGCCACCTCGTTTTGTTAAACTAGACAATGCACAGGTTTTTGGTTTGGCATTATTCACATTTCGGATCAATTCTATGCAACTCTCATGGTTCCTGTTGTTTTTTAGTGTTAGCTGCCAAAATGACTTTATAGGGCTGGGGTGGGTGACCGAGAGACTGGATCAGTCAGAATGTGGGCAAATCTTATTTTGCTTAATGTGTCATGTGTGTATGTATATATATCTGTCTATATATCCATATATAGGCAGATATATAGAGATATATATACAGGTAGATATATATATATCTTTTCCCAGTGCCCCCAAATGACAGTGTTTAAATCCCAGACCAGGACTGATCTGCACAACTGAATTATGTGGTTACTTGGGCACTTCATCTCACTCAAGGTCCGCCAGGCTGGCCCTCCTCGCCCTCGAGCTGGGAAGAGCTCCCTCACTTCCAGATTCCAGGTGTTTTGCACAGTAGATCGTGTAAGTGAGGACACTGAGCTGTGTGTATCTGTGTAGATGTGCGTGTCGGACACACAGGCCAGGCCCCGTCCTGCTGGCCGTGTCGCTCCCTGCTGGGCCCTCCGTGGAGTGTGGCTGGGTGCAAACCTCATTGTTCGGATGGCGGCAGGTTCTCGGTTCAGAACTATGGAATGGAGGTTTCGCACCTTCTTAAAGAAAAACAACAGACTTTTAATTTATATGGCATTGTGCTGATAGACTGTCTTGCAGGTGGTTCGTCTTCTCCGCGTGGTTGGAGGTAGCTGGTTACCAGAGGCGCTGGTTTGTATGTAGACACTTGGATTGTTTTGTATCTTTTCCCGTTGGCTGTACTGACACTTGCTGAGGTCATCTGTGTTAACAGGAGGGAACAAGTGGCAACCCCTACTCCCCACACCCCTCCCCGCTTTGTGTCTTTCCTGTTCAGTTACCAAATCAGCTGTAAGCCCGTCTAACACTAGGTGCGTGGACATTGTGTTAGGGTAGTTCCAGTGTGTTAACTTTATGAATTGAAATATAAACCATAAAATTGTATTACTATTTCTTCTGTTGGTTTTATTTTAACAGCATATTCATTAAATATTTTGGTACAAACAGCATTGCTTTGTAAAAACTAGTTTTATCATATGTGCTCCTGCCCCACCCCCACCCCCACGCCGCCACCATCAGAGAAGACCACCCTCTGAGCTGACAGGGGTGAGCCCCAGCCTGCACCTCCCCTGTGGCCTGTGCCCCCATCAGAAGCACTGCCCCCCTGAGAAACCAAGTGCCACGCTCACGGGGAGGCACTGTGTGTGTGTGTGAGGTTTAGGGAAATCATAAGGGTGTACTTAAGGCTTAAAAGACAATAGCTTCTCACCAGGCTGCAATGGGAAAGGGAATTCCCACCCAAATTGTGAATGTGAGGGGGAAATGGCTGAAGGGCAGAAAGGAGGGCGGAGTTATGGGGCCCCCACCTGACCGAGCCGTCTTTGAGATCGCTGCTTTCTGTTCCCTGGCGGCTGCCCCGCACCCCTGCACCCCTGGGGTGAGTCTCCTGACCCTCTGCCGTCCTTACCACCTCACCCCTTCTCTGCAGCAGGAAGAGCAGTGCTCCCCAACCCCACTGTTCCCCTCTGCTTGACCTGCCTGCCTCCCAGGACCCCAGCTATACCCTGCTTTTGGGTGGAAGTGGTTAAGATACAGGCCACGAAGGGAAGGTGGTGAGTCCCTCTGAAGCTGGGCAAGTGCCAAGCAAGGGGCCTGGGCCCCAGCAGGGCCTCCAGAACAGTGGGGTTCCTTTGCCACTCAGGCTGGTGGGTGTATTTCCGGGATCCACTTTCCTCCTGACCCAGGGCAAAGGTCGAGTCCCAAGGGTCCCAGTGTTCAGGAATGAGGACTCGGCAGAAATCCTCACCTCTGCAGCTGTGCCCTAGCCCAGCCAAAGGAGTCCACACGCAGTCCACCTCGGCACACAGGCCTCCGTGACTCAGCTGGGGTCCTGCTTCCGGGGAGGTCCCCGATGACGCTGAGACCCAAGATAATAACCACCTGTGCACGAAGTGCTGTAGCAGGTGCGGGATCCGGCGAGAACCGCAGGGCCGTGTACTGGCAGGGAGAGTTCTCCGCACACAGCTGGGCGACTGCTGGCCCCGGGGCGTGGAGGGGCAGCCTGCACGGCCAGGCCGGGGCTGGGCCCGCTGGAGGGCGAGGCCTTGAAGGGGACCACTAGACAGTTTTAAGCCAACTTTCTTTCAATCTTTGATAAGTTCCCCATCAGTCCTTTAGGAGAAAATACCCAAAATTTAGTCTGAAGATGGGTGGTAGAATAGGAAAGCCAGATTCTAAAAAAATTCGAAACTTGCTGAGAAAGGGGAGGAAACTCCAGGAAGATAAATTGAGCTTTTAGTATATGGAGTTGAGCTCACCTGGGAAACAAGTTGGGGATGTCCAGAGTCGACACACTCGGGAGCGGAGTGAGCTCGCCACCACGGCAGGCTGTGGGCGATTCTGTCCTGTGGGTCGTCCTGTGAATCCTACTAGTTGTCGAGAGCACACCTCACACTACCAGTTGTCACGACCAAAATGTTCCCAGGTGGGGGTAGGAGGGATCCCTGGTTGAGGACCCCTGCTCTGCATGTGAGCTGAAGCTAGAGGGGGAGACTGCCCAGGGCTATCCCGGTTAAGCAAGGGCGGGGGAAGAGAGGACACGGAGCGGAGCAGGGAACGCGGCTGTAGGCGCCCAGAGGAGCACACACAGACTCCACCTTGGGGTGAGGGCGGGACCAGAACGGCTCCCTGGATTGGGTGACTGGGAAATCCCTGATGCTTCAGGTGGGGTGGAGAGGAGGAAGTGCGGACTTTGAGAAGCCGGCTGTGAAGGGAGCTGAGGCAGGAAAAGTGTAAGGCTTCCGGCTGGGAGATTCAGAGCCTGGTTCTGACCGCGACCATGGCTCTTCCTTGCCTGTTCTTGGGGCTGCTCACAAGGCACGGGAAAATACAGGACACGCTGCACAGATGTCCAGCAGGCCCTGCTGAGCGGACCTCAGGTCTTGTTAATAACTCTCAGGGGAGGGAGGCAGCTCAGAAGCAAAGATAAGTGGCCTCCTCTGACTTCACATCTCCCAGGCGTCCTGCCCATGTCCCAGTGGCGGGAGCAAGCAGAGGGGTGGGGTTCCAGGAGAGAAAAGGCTACTCCCAGCTCTGGACTGACCCCACAGGCATGAAAACCAGAGTCTACACAGGGGAGGATGCAGGTGACGTGGGCCCCTTGGGGCCTGGTTGGCCTCTGGGAACCCATAACGTCGTCGGTGTGTGGATTCTAGTGCTTCATTTGATCAGAGAGGTGCCTGATGCTGACGAACCTAAGATTCGCCCGGGGGTGGGAGGGCGGGCAGAGACCAGGCAGACAGACAGGAGGATCGGGACCACGCAGCGGCTGAGCACCCATGCCCTGAACACGAGGACTGAGCATGAGCACTGAGCTCTCTACCCTTCCCCATTTTATAGGGGAAGAAATCGGGTCCATAGAGAGGTTCCTGGCCCACGTCCATCACTCCCAGTGACCGTGTGGGCAGCAGGTGGGTGCAAGCTCTCCGCCCTCGCCCCAGACAGCTCGGCGCAGCGAGCCGCCCTGTTCGTGCCCTGGGCTCAGCCCGTCCCCTGGGGATTGTAAGGTCCTGTCAGGCCCTGCTCCTCTCGCGTGCTGTTCCCCCTCTGGTTGTCACACCCTATGAAAGTGAAGGCGAAAGGCTTGCCTGTGATCCCAAGAACTGTGATTTGAACCTTTTCTACCAGCTACCACGACCTCCATCTTCTCTTTCAGGGCCCAAGGGCAAGGAAGGCCGGCTCCACCTCGAGCCCACGAAGGTGGACGAGGATGGGAGCAGGGGATCTGGCGGTCAGTCCTGGTGCGGTTGGGAATCCAGTCTGGGGGTTTTCCAGGGAGAAGGCGGCCGAGTTGTAAGATGAAGGCACAACACGCAGTGCCTGTCCACACAGCTCGGCTTACCTGAGGCAGCAGCACCACCGCGGGGGCGGCTCCCAGCCCTGGGGCAGCTCGACCGCAAAGGCTCGAGGAACAGCAGGAGCTTCAGCTTTGCCTTCAAATTGCTGCTGCCATTTGGAAGCTCCATTCCTTGGGCACGTCCCTCGCTCTCTGAGCTTTAGTGTACTAAGCGGTAAATTCTGGGGAGAGGTGTGAGGATGAAGAGTGAGTTGTGTGAAAAGCACCTGTAATTCGCTGCTAGGTTCCTTCGAGGTGGTGCACACCTTTTGCACCATTAGCACAGAGGACCGTGAACAGAAAGTAGGCCTTGGTCCCTGATCCCCTCGTAGGAAGGAAAGATTTTATCATGTGGACTGAGTCATAAGTGGTCGTGCACTTGACCTTTTTATCAAAGTCAGCACCTTAATTTAATTAGAGGTGGTCCTGCTTAAGACAGAAGCTTTTATTTTTATTCATCCAAATGGGGAAAATGCAACATGTCAGGGCATTCCAGACAGACTGCAGCAGCCAGAGGCGGTCAGTCCATGGCAGAGTCCAACAGTCAGTGCGAAGGCGCCCAGCTTGGACGCAGCCTGTGGGAGTTGGGTGGCAGAAAGTCCCTTTGGATGAAGGCCAGGCATCTTTGGGTGAGGCACTGCTCTGGTGACAGTCCACACACGCTGCTGCTTCGACCGCTGGGAGGTTTCAAGTTCAGAATCCTACATGAACCACTGACCCGAGGGCAAGGACAATCCATGGTGCTCATGGTTTCCAAAGTTGTTTAACATAATACACAACGAAGTTATTGCAAGGACTTTGTACTACAAATTAT